AATACATCCTGTGAGGTCATTGGCGTTCATCCTGATGCTTGTCACTGGAAACAGATGCAGCATGCAGCCTGTATGTCGGCCACCCCGTTGTCACTCCTGTGGTTCATTGTGCGGGGCTGATTGTGACAAGGCGAGGCAACCTCCAGCCAGTAAAGGCAAGAGAAGAAACATTAGCAGAAACAAAAACACGCGGGGGTTGACATTTTTGGAGGGAAAGAAACAGAGACATAAAAACCTTTGTATATACAGTAAGCCAAAAGGAAACGTGACAGATGGTGCCTGTGACACTCTTGTTCTTGCAGACACTCTCCTCATTATAGGACATTAACTCACCAGGAAAAGCCAGCTACACTAGTCTGTGATGGAGCGCCACACATGAGCAGACTGAGCCACAGTTACCTTGTCACCCTCTATAAATAGTGAGGCAGGTGTTCTCTGCTGCTCTGACCCTCAAACCGATGATAGCACCATAGATAGGAATGCAAACATGCTCACATGCCTGCATACAGACATGCAGGGGAACAATCTGTTACAACTTCGCTGCTCCACTACAAAGACTGATCATAAAAAATGGGAATTCATTGCAGTAACATAATTCTAAATAATAAAGCACTCCGCCAAGTTCATGGTTGATACGAGAAACCTTTAAAGCAAACCTGTTCTGTTTTTAATGGTTAAAAAGTTTTAATTCACTGGAGAGGAAGCCACTGGTATAAATACATAAATAATAAGTGTTTGTTAACATATTTTGTTTTGCTTCCTTGATGTGAAGTATGTGCATATGCCTAAGACGTGCACATTTACATTTTAAAGGAATAGTTTGACATTTTGAGAAACAGGCTTTTTCACTGGCTTGCTAAGTGTTAGATAAGAACATATTACTGTCATGTGTCTGTAAGGTAAATATGTGTCTAGAGCCAGTTATCTTAGCTTAGCATAAAAACCTTTAGAACCTAATTAGCACATTATATCTTATTTGTTGAATTCACATATGAACCAAAGTCTAAGTTGTGGCTTTACAGTGGATTGCGAGCTGTACAATTTATGGGCTTGGTGCAGTGATTTCCTGACCTAACGTTCAGTGGAGACATGAGGAAGTTACTGCATTGTAATGTCCTCTGTTGTTTTACGCTTTGGTTGTTGCACAGACTGAACAAATAAGATATAATGAATTAATTACTAAGATTTACTTGTGCTTTTTATGGATTTTGTTTCTTTTGGACAGAGTCACGCTAGCAGTTTTTCCTTGTTTTAGTTTTAATGCTAAGCTAAACCTGCTGACTCTGGCTACATATTCACCATACAGACTCTACTCATCAATCCTTCAGCAAGAAAAAAGAAATCATATTTTCCAAACTGTTACACCTGCCAAAATACACACCTTCAAATGGGCCATTCTGGTTTTACATAACAAAATGTCTGTCTCATTTACTTTCCCAGCTCCACACTCAGTAATTGCACCGTAAAACAACTGCAATAGCCTAATAAAGTCTCTTAACTGCATAATAATCTTATACTGGCGAGATGTTTACAGTGGCATGCTCTTCTAAATCCATTTAATGTGATTAACTATGTGTGATAATGAAATGGTGTCCTGTCCTGCTCATTGCTCATATGAAGATGGTGAGACTGAAGATGGTATTGATGATGCACTGCCTGAGCCTCACTAAAATGAGAGCACTATTAAGCTCCTCAATCATTTTGTTTCAAGCACTCACTCTTCCTCCTCCCCTCCCCCTCTCCCCATGCTGTCACTCTCCCAGCCTGCACCTGTCAGATTAGTCTCACATCCTCAGCTGCCACTCCATATGATACGCCTTCTTACTGCCCGAAGCCCACATGTCATCTCACTTTGCATGTATTTATGCATTTTTGTGTGTGAAAGGGAAAGTAGAGGAAAGAAGCGCTGAGAGTGCAATCCCATGAAGAATATCTGGGTGTAAAATGTGGGGTTTGCATAGTCTAAATTATAGATTAACATCCCCAATTTGCTGGACTATTTGCAATCCTGCAAAATGAGTCCAAATACTGTGTGAGTGGATGAAGAAGAGGAGTTTGCATCTCTGTTGTCAGGTAATATTTTAGACCCACAGCACATTGACAGTAGAATGTTTACCTGGTTAGAGGTGTCATGGCTACCATAATCTGTTCCAGAGACTGCAATGGTAACAGTTTTGGGGAGCCAGTATAAAACTGTGACAACATTGCCACCAAATCACTACCATCAGCACAAATGTGCACCAGGATAAAGGCAGGATGGGAGTCCGAGTGGGGGTGAAGGTAGCAGGGGTAGTGGGGGAGCTCCAAAATTGAAAGCCTCCTTGGTAGATGGATTGGAGCAGCTGAGTCCATAAGCATGTGACGGCAGACCGAAATAATAAGCATCACAGCAATTTGAGGCTGTGCCAAGTACCCGGAGGTAACCAGACTAACCCCGAAAAAAAGACAAGAATGCTTTCAAAATAAGAGTTTCTATAAACGGTGCAAGATTTGCAGAAAAAAAGGCAGGGATTTGAAAGTTGAAATAGTTCAAATAAACATATATCTTATAATGTGAAAGAATAGCATTGTGGTGGGTGTCTGAGGACAACTCACAATGCACTAGTGGGTTTGATGCTATTGTGGCCAAGCAGGTAGAATAGATCATCTATTAAATATAAAGTTGGCCTTTCAGTCCCCAGCGCTTTCAAGCCACATAAAGAAGCGTCCTTTAGCACTGAACCCCTAAATAACTCCAGATGGTTAGGCCTTGCATGGTAGATTGATTAATGTGAGCATGGATTTGTATTACATTCCGTTTCCAATATAAAGATATGAACGTATCCAAGAACTTTATTCTGAAAGATGTAACCGGAAATTGTTTTAATAATTTAACTTGGGACTACATTGGTATATTTTCTATGATTGAGTAGTGGACGAGGAGAAAACAGTAGCGTAAAATAAGCAAGAGAAGCATTTAGAGTCCCAATTATGCGCACAGTTTATGATGACATCAAGTCAGTAGGTAGGAGAGGTGTGTGTGCGTGTGCGCATGTTGGAGAGCCGCTGTGCGTCTAGAAGGCGTTTAACAAGGTGGTCCCCCGTTAAGCACCAATTAATTTATCGCAGAATAAAACAGTTAAAGGGGGAGAAGACGGAGAGGAATCAGTAGGGACTGTGGCGGCTCTGGAGAGCTGTCACTTTCTCTGTGCATGTGTGTGAAGGGAGAGGGATTATCATTACGCACGTTATGCGGAGCGCAGTTTTGGTGATACATTCAGTCGGAGAATGTGCAGCGGGGAGCAGTGAGAGTCAGCTCGGACATTCAACGGCATAATTAGTGCAGCAAGAGAAGGGGATCCGGGTGGTTTGGGGGGGTGGGGGGTTCTGCACAACACACAGTTTCGAAACATTGAGAATTTTATTTATTTGAATGAATGCTCCCTCACTGGTGCAGAGTCAAAGTCAACGATGCGCACCGCTGAACAAAGGATTTAGGGCAAAATGATCAAGAATCTTTTCCACATTTAAATCGTGACACCCCGGTATATATCACCTTTCCCGTTGACAAGACACGGCATTCATGCCCATTCTACCTCTGAGGACAACGGACACGGGCTGAATAACCGGGATCCTCTGGTTTGAAACCTGGAGCAGGAGGAATCATCTGGTCTGATCGAGTACAAGTCCATGTGGATGGAGCGAGGATACGCAAACACAGCGAGCGGAGCTGGTTCCGAAATGTGACATTTTTAATTCTGCTTCCCATCATACCTGACAACTGTGAATCTGTCTTCGTTTTCAATCGGACTTTACATTACGATTAAGGTACGTGCCGCTCACCAGTTAGCCCATATTGATTAATGAGAATGGGAAGCAGGGGAGTGTGATATCCTTGTGAACGTGTGTACATGATATATATTCAGTGGGTAACCCAGAGGGGGTATCAGTTTATTTGAATGCATCTCGGTTTGTGTTGTAATAAGGCTGTTTCGGAGCTCATTGCCACTGAGGTGAAAGTTGCATCCGTTGCATTGGCCATCATCGATGCACCAGTTACATAGGTGTGCAAAAGCAGACAGGGGACGTAGACATGTTGCAGAAATATACATTTACGCGCAGGGTTCGGCTCACATGGCCTTCAGCTCAAGGGGCATTTGACGAAACCATGTTAATCTGAACTAAATGCGTGTCCGTGGATTACTTTGACCTATGTGAAACTTAACGACTGATTGGCTCTGGCACAATTTTCTCATAAGGATGAAAACGTTGGTGTCTCTTAATAGCTGTAATCCCCCCCCCTTATTATCCCACAATACATTGGGATATTTTAGGAGTGTCAGTCACTGCTCCTTCCTTTAGTTTAGAGGTTAGATGTCATTCTTTATTTTTTGGATCTCTCTCTCTCTCTCTCACACACACACACACACACCTCAATAACAATGGTCTTACTACTGCCCCCTCAAGCAAACCTTCTTCTGGAACCCACCAGGGACCCTCCCATGTAGCCATATTGTTAAAAGAGGGGGGTGTGCTGAAAAAAAGCAAAGAAAAAAGAGCATTCTCTAAATGTGTGTTTGCATTAAGCTGCTCCTTAGGTCAGCTTAAACCAAGGGTGTCCCCCTTAGGAGACGTGTCCTTCACATGCTGGCCTCAAAATCAGGAGGCAGGGCTCTGGATAGCTTGTCTAGGTTGGTAAGAATCTGCACTTAAATGTCCACTTGAGGCCAGTTAGACAAAGGAGGTTTGTATGGAAATTGATGTCAGTGGATTGATTGATTTGGTTTTGGCCAATAAAGATGATACATGAGCCTTGAGCCTCTGTCAGGGCAGTATGTGTGTGCTCGGAAAGCTCCCAGGTCTGTTTTGGAGTGTTCGGTTTTCCATCATTAATCAATATTTGGCAGAGTGGAGCTGTTTATTCTCAGGCTGCACTTGCATGAGTTAGTTAGGTTCCTCATGGGAAAAGAGGATGCTCCAATATCTCCTCCGGGCTGATGCCATATGTACCAGATTTGGATGATCATGTGTGTGTGTGTGTGTGTGTGTGTGTGTGTGTGTGCGGCCTCTTCATGTATACGTGACAAAGCTGAGTGCATGACCTGGAGTGCAGATTTCACCTACATGAGAATTTCCCTGCGCCTTCTTTAATACGTGAATGCTATCATGCTCCCCCCTCCTCCCCTCACACACTGACTCTTACACACACTCACATGCTCCAGGCACAAGGTTCGCTCCAATTCTTCCTCCACACATCCGACTGTTCCTTGTTTCTCCTGCTCATCTGACCGCTATCATACTTTCCGAAACAAATCTCAACTATCACCGTCTATAACAGAAGGTGCCTACTGATACCACATGGAAGCAGAACACACGACATTGGCTTCAGGGAGCGTTTTTGATTTGGAAATGCCTTCACATCTCACCCATCACCCGGGTTGTTGATGTAGAAAGAGAAGGGGAGTAGAGGGAGGGGTGTATGGGCTGAAATTAAACATTGGTACTGTTCATTGCCAAGTCAATTAGCATATGGTCTTGCTGTGAGTCCAGTCAGTGGTAATGAGGCCTAATAAAGAGGATTGGGTATGTCTGAGGAGGCTGGGGGAAAGTCTGTGATTTACTTCGTGATGGCACTTATGAGGTCAATGCAGTGAATGGACCACCTCTTTTTCAGTCTCGCCATTTGATATCCTCTCATTATTTCCCTCTTAGCTGTACTTTCTCCAGTCATCTCTGATTCTATTTTTGCTGAAACTTGTCCTCTCCTACTCCCTCTCAGCATTTTAGCACATCCATACGTCATTCCTTCACATATATCACCTCTCCACCCCTTTTATTCCCATCTTTATATCAGTCATTACCAGCTGCAGGGGACTGGTGTCATCACTCTTGAGGGATTTAGAGATGTGTAGAGATTCAGGGCAAAGTCGGGCATATGAGATGATTAAATGCACCTCTTGGTTAGGTTGTTTGAAGTAGGAAGTTGGGTGTTTCCAGTGGTAAGCTAAATGCATTTCTTTGCATTTCTCTATCTGCTGGCTGAGTCCATCAAACAAATACCACCATGAATGGACAGGAAAAGGCTGATACAGAACACTGTTTGTTTCAGCAAACTAGTACTAGAAATATCTTTCTCAAAATGCTGACCTTAGGTCTGTGACTAGCTGAATGCACCATTGGTACGGGCAACTCTGCAAAGTCACAAGCTCGGGGATTACAACAACAGCGTGTCCAGTCAAAAGTGATTGGAGTGAGAAAGATTCTGTTTTGGATAAGAGTATGTTCACATTATGCTGGTTAAACTTAAAAAAGTTTATTTTAATCTCACTTTTAGCCTTCTCTCCACACTAAAACACGTTTCTCACCCAAAAATTGAGCTTTTCCAAAAATGCACAGCAGATGAGTCTTAAAAAGGCAGGTTGGTGGTGTCGGAAATGTACATGTAAAGGAGACAAGAAGATGATTCGCCAGCCAGCTGATTAAAGAGAAACATGGTTCAGAAAAATGAATGATTAATGTAACATACAGTATATATCATCTCAGGAAAAACAGGCAGGTTTTTATCGGTACTCTGTGAACTTCCTCCATTCTTCCTCCTTTCTAAATTAGACCAGACTTCAACTCTGGAAGCCACTTAAAGCTGGTTATTCTCACTTTCAGAAAGCTCAGAGAACTTTAGAAAACCATTCTAAAGTCTCTCAGTGTTGCCTCCAGTAGCAAACTTCACTATCAGAGCATACAGGCTTATTTAGAAGCTCAGATGTGCTTTTAATGCAGCATAAATCTAATCAGACAGGATATTACTAAGACAAGGGTTAATATACGACTGATGTCAAAGGCGTTATATAATCCCAGCCACGTAAACGCATGCACTGTTAGACAAGGTCTGTTGCCAGCATAGAACCAGTAAACGACCTGCTCACATAAACAGCTGGATCAGTGTGCTTCCAGCCATATGTCTACACACTTACATAGACTTACACACACTTTTTCTCCTTTATCCTCCTAGTAATCAGAATAAAACAGCAGAAGAAAAACGGGAATTGAAGCGAATCGTCGAAATGCTATAATCCTCTCAATTATCACCACAGTAATTAGATGGCATCTGGTTGTGCGCTATTTCTGATAATTATAGGAGGTTGTAATTGTACAGGATGGCTCGCTAGATTCTCCCATCCCTGCCTATCTAGCTTGGAGCAGGTTTGAATGACTGCAGTGCTGCACATAAGCACTCGTGCCTGTATTGCTCATGTGTGTTAACAGCAGTGTGCTATAAGGAATGCAAGCTGCATACATTCAGCTTTGTGTAAGAATGTGGTGCCTTCACACACACATGCATAATACATGCCACCAAACTGAATGTTATATTTACATGCAAATAGAGGCTGAGGACAGTGCTAGCGTGTGAGAGAAAGAGCGAGAGAGAGAGCGCAACAGAGTGACACGTGCAGCATGATTGCATGGAAACCTGCTACGTGCAGAATACAAAACTAAGATGGGCCTTTGAGAGCCAGCAGGCTGCTTGGAACTGATGAAGATGATGCCTGAGAAACAGCAGCCATGCAGCAGAACTGGCAGGAGCTGGAACCTTCCCCCAGTTACATAAGATACACAGAAAGAATAAAGGCAAGGGGGAGGAGATGGGGGTGAGAGGAGGAGGAGGAGGAGGAAGGGGCACATGAAAGGAATAAGGAGAAGCCAGATTAGAAGGAAGTGGGGTATATTTTGGGATAAGGCAGTTGGGGTGTGAAGAATGAGAAGAGCCGAGAGAGGAGGTGTGTGAAGCACATCTTTAAATGTAGCAGGGAGATGAGACTGCTCCAGCTGCAGCAGAGGAGAGGTGGTATGAAAACCAACAGAGGAGAGGATTTTAAATGGAGGGAGGACAGAAATGGCTGCATAGAGTTGGAATGATAGAGAGAGAAACGTGTCTAAAAAGATGGAGGGACTGGAGGATGAGACAGCAGCAGCATCCTCTGTGCTGCACAAAGCAGAAGGCCAGGGACTGTCATTCTCTCTCTCTCTTCACACAACTCATGTTAGTGAGAGGTAGGGAATAGCACTCAAGTGTGTGGCATGGGCGTTGTAGGTGGTTTATGTACAAGTTGAGCATGTTTTCATGAGCGTATGTTATATTGCACATACCTTTGTGGCTGACTGCATACATGTGGCTATGGCCGGTGGCAGCCCTCTGTGCGCATCCTTTAGCTTTGAGCACACCAGTCGTCCAAGCCACACTCATAAAGCAGCTGGAGCAACCATCTGTGCAAGAAGGAGTGACCCGGTGAGAGGGTGAGTGAGTGAAAAAATTATTAGTGTGTAGGACACAAAATTCAGTTTCTCTGTCTCTTGTAGAGAGTGTGCACTTGTTTCATCTGTGTGCTTTTACAGGCTCTGTTATTTGGAGGTGACAAAGAAGGCGGCAAAGAAAGACAAAAAAGAAGTGTATAAAAAAGACAGAGGAGGAGCTTTCTGCTCAGCCTGCTGAGGACAAGTGAATCTCTCTCTTTGTTTCCTAACCCTTTTGTTTTATTCTCCTAGAAATAGGGCATAACCATAGTTATCAGGAGCTCACAAAACAAACAAACAAAAAAACAACAAGGTGATGTTTGGAATAAGCTCAGGTTTACCATGAGTGTATATCTGTTCTTGTGCCACTTGTGCAGCTATGCATATTAATGTAGACCAGTAATAACCAGTGACTGTTGGCTGCAGTAACAAGGAGACAACAGGAAACAACAGGTTAAAAAATGGCAGGAAATGAGGGAGTGAAGAATTTCAGTCATGAAGAGGAGTGTATTTTGGAGAGTGTAAATCTCTGAGGGATACATTAAAGTGCTCAACTGAAATGAATATGCACAAATCAGACACACACACCCTTGTTTTTGTCACTTAGCAGGTCTAACCTTAGTCTAACCATAAACCAACTCGTCTCCCTATTATGTTCCGTACTTAAGTCATGTCATTGTGGGGACTTGGTGTCATTGTGGGGACAAAAAGCAAGTCCCCATGAGGATCCCGAGTCCCCACAATGTAACTATGTAATGCTAGCTGTGTATGTGTGTACATGTGGAAACTTGGGAACAAATGAAACCACTTCATTTAAGATTTATCTAAACTTGCCGTACATTTTTTTATTGGATGTGAGCTTTTAATAATACGGTCTTTAACTTTTTCATGGCCCTTTCCTGTTCACAAGATGCTTGACATACAGTCTGTGGAGTCATGGAAAACCGTTAATGCCACAATAATGTTTAAATCTGCAATAATTGATTTTTTGCTTATCCAAAGACAGTGGAAACAATATACTTATCATCTCCCTTTATGCTGATACTGTAAACTTGTTCATTTATACATCCAGCAGTTACAGATTACAACATTACAATTCATTTGGACTCATGTTTCTGGCCACCTGGTGAATGATACTATCATTTTAGAGTTGCTTTTTGGTCCCTACCAACTCCTGAGGGACATATTTGGCTTTCTAGCTGCTTAATGCTCCACTACTTTCACTAGCTAGTTGCAAATTATGTCTGTTTGCTATTCATGTTGCAGGTTGATATAATGATTTTGTGGGACTTGTTACAATACTTGTTTCTTTCAGCTGGAACAAGCAGCTTGCTCACTACAGTGCTCTGCAAAGACAGCTGCAGATTCCCATATCTGTCCATATTTTCCTCATGATAAAACAAATTAGAATATCTAGGGTCTGTCTGCCCTGTTTCAGCTACATGCTAGGGACTGTGTGTGACCTGCAGCCCAGGCTGGTGTGTGTTTAAACCTAGCACCGTCTACTAATACTTCAGCTATGTAACTCTCCCTGATTTACTGGCACGGAGGGAGAACATGAAGCTGGGGATGTCCACTGCCCTTTATATGGTATGTAAATATTGTGGCACAGTCTATTTGTGGATATCCAAAGTGTGGCTTCAAATGTAGGGAGGATGGAAAAGTATGTCTATGTGAAAGCAGACTGTTTAAAACACTAATGTATGAGCCAGCTTGGAAAGAATTTATAAAAGCTTAGCGATGTAGTGGAGAGACAGTTGACAGTAACCTAGCAAGAAGTGTTTCAGTGTGTGTGTGCGTGTGTTGTCATGATGGCTTTAAATACATATCAACCTTTCATAAAACACATAGCTTGTCAGGTGAAATGACAGCACTGATCATTTCAACAGAGGCAAAAAGAACAGAATAAAAGAATGTCTGCTGGTGTGTGTGTGTGTGTGCGTGTGTGTGAGTGTATGTAGCTGTCTGACAGTTGTGATAAATAAAAAAAAGGTAGACTGAAACAGCATCGATTTTACATGCTGCTATCGTTATTTCACTAGGACACGTCTCTCAAAGGTACACAAGCATTTGTACTCTTGCTTGAGCTGCTCTGTATTTGTGTTCAGTATATTAAGTATTGTCTCACACCTTGCTAGATGCCCTCAGATGCCTGATAGCGAGGCAAACTGCTTGTACACACTAGTTCCTTTTTCTGTAATTCTGTTTTTTCATAAAAATGTGCATGATCCTGCAGCGTTACTGTCAGTGCTTTGGCAGCCAGTTCGAACAAATTATACATCTAAAACTCTCTCTAAAAAACTAAGTTCTCTGATTTGGACCTGATCTCTTGTTGATTGAATTAAAGACAGCTCACATGGGCTTTTCTGAGTTTGTGGGTATTTTTCTGCTATGTATATGTTGATTATTTTAAGGTGTTTGCAACAAAATGAAGCCATAAAGGCTTTAAAAGTTACAAAATTGGCAGGGCTAAAGGCTACTATTGGTCAAACAGGATGTGTGTGTATCTTTTTGTTTGGAAAGGCTTCAGTCATGCACCCACCAAGAGCTACTGGCCTTTGTTTCCTCTCTAAAACACAGCAGTGGTCAATTGTTTGTGTTGTATTGTGGGAATGACTGCTCAGCTCAGCAGCCTTCCAAACATTTATGACCAAAATGACTCTCTTTCTCTCTCTCTCTCTCCCCTCTCATTCCTTTTCTTTGACATTTTCCACTTTTACCTCTTTATCTCTGTTCCCCCCATCATCTCCCTCTTTGTCTTCTGTTCTGATGCCTTCTCAGAGATGGCGTTCCTCCCAGTCTTCCTCCTGCTGTTGCTGATTGTCACTCATCGTGCCAGCAGTCAAGACCCTGAGGATTCTGAGGCTCTCCCAAGAGGCTGTGGCTGGGGCCTTGTGCGTCCCTACACCCTGCTCTGTGACCTGGACTCTATATGGGGTGTGGCTGTTGAATCAGTGGCTGCTGGTGGGGTGCTGGCCGCCATCTTTCTAGCCCTGGTCCTGCTGTGCCGTTTACGCCACATCAGTGAGGCTGAGAAGCGCAGTGGTGTGGGACCCATCCTCTTGCTGCTCCTTGGCATCCTTGGCTTGTTTGGCCTGAGCTTTGCTTACCTGATCGAGCAGGATGAGTCGTTATGTCTGCTTCGCAGGGCCCTCTGGGGTCTTCTGTTTGCCATCTGCTTCTCCTGCTTGCTGGTGCAGGGTGTCCGTCTACGCAGGCTGGGCAGGGAGCGTCGGAGTCTTGGTGGCTGCGCTTTGACAGGCCTGGCCCTGGGTTTGAGTGCTGTGCAGGGTATCATTGCTGCAGAGTGGCTACTTCTGACCGTGCTGAGAGAGGGAAGAGCTGCCTGTCAGTATCTGCCTCTGGACTTCTCACTGGCTTGCAGCTATGTGCTAGCCCTCCTACTAGCTGCGCTGACAGCTGCCTCTCTGGCCCTGTGTGGGAAGACATGTCAGTGGCGCTGCAATGCCATCTGGCTGCTGGTGACCTGCCTGCTGTCACTGCTGCTGTGGGTGGCCTGGGTGGGCTTCTATCTGTATGGCAACGCCTGGCTGGGGAAGTCTCCGGACTGGAATGACCCGGCACTGGCCATTGCTTTAGTGGCTCAGGGCTGGCTGCTGCTAATCTTCCATGCCATTCCCGAATCCCACATCTGCCTGAGACCCCCGCCACAGCCCACTGCCCCGGATTACTTTGACACCTCCCAGAACTCAACACGAATGAGGGAGACCAGCTTTGATGAAGACATCCCTCTCTCTCACAGGCAGTTTGTGGAGAACCAGGGCTACGGATACAATGATGAAAACACTGCAGGTACAGAAAGGTGTAATATGTAGGAAGAATGTAGGCCAAAGTGATTAAAAGAATACCAGGAAATACTTGCATGTGTCTTGAAATAAATACAGGAGGAAATTTCTGTGATGGAGGATTACACAGCAAGTGGGTTTTTTTTTTTTTTTTGAGACAGTGATGTGGTGAGTCATGGTGAGTTATCTCTGTCCACCTCTCTGTCTATTCTATGCCAGGCTTGAGGAGCGGTGGTGGTGCTGGGCAACATAACAGTAACACCGGCACCAGGCCCAGTGCTCCTTTCCGCAGCAACGTTTACCAGCCCACTGAGATGACCATGATCCTGAACGGGGGAGCGGTGAGTACATCCTCCCAGGCACAGGTACACGCCGCTTACATACCGCTCTCTCATTCGACCACGCCAACAAGACTGCATGCACATTTGTGCGTTCCAGACTGAACATCATTACCCAAGAATGAGGGAGAGGTGTGAGTGTGTGTGTGCATTATCAATTTGCGTGTACATGTTCACGTGCCTGTGTGTATTGTGCTCTGTGTGCACATGCATGGATGAGTTTGTCACAAATGGTCACTCATCTGGCATTGATTTGTGTATGCGAGTGTGAGAAAGCCTCGATGCCCCTGTGTGTATAAACAAACTGCATTGCTACTGTATCTGTCCACTGAGCAGTGCCACTGTCTGCCAGCCTGTCACGCCCTTCATTATGCAGAATGATGTCACTCTGCCTGACACAGGTGAACTGCTTTCCAGCCTCTGTGTAAAGAATTAAGCCCACCACAAAACAGCACACCACACCACCTCATAGACCACTGGAGGCTAAACTGCTGAAGCAACACTCTCTAGTGACTAAAAGCTCATTTGTAGTGCAGCTAGGCATGCTGATTTAGCCAACGAGGAAATGTAGAGGCTTCTCCTTAAGATACTCTGCAAAAAATACCATTACTTTGTATGAACAGTTTTTGTGCATCTATTTGAAAGGATAAGTAAACTTATTTACATGTTTAAAGGGAAGTGCTTTGCATAAGGCATAAAAGATATTAGATAAGAAATTCGGCTTGAATAAATCTATTTAAATGGCTAAAAATAATGAAAATACAATGAAAAGGATGAAAACAAGGAATTAAACAGAAGGCATTACAGGATGCAAGTGAGAAGTGGAAAATGGTCTGCATTTGTAAGACTGAGCTAACTGAGTGGGATGAGATGGTCGATGCCACTTCCATGTTTGTACAGTAAATATTAAGGTAATGCAAGCACTAAAAACCATGGATGTATTATGAGACCTGGATACTGGGAAGCACTAAAAGCCATGGATGTATTATGAGACCTGGATTGCTCATTCCTGCCACAAAGTTGCGCGGCCTGGCATCTATACCCAAATACATTTTTTTTTCTTCTGGGTGTGCCTCCATGTTGTGGGGCCCACTACACATGCTCATTAATCTTTGTCTCTTGCTCCTCGGCCTATAAATTTTACAATAGGATGACATCACAAAAATTTCAGGTTTTACAAATATAAAACTTCCATCAATTAAAAAGACACAATAGAAAGAGGCATAACTGACCTGGTTTGCAGTTTGAGGTGTCCTGTCTATGTTTTAAGACAACTCATAAATATAACCATAAACTTTATTGCCAAGTATCATCAAAAATACAAGGAATTAGACTCCAGCCCAATGGCCCCTGATGTTCACAACAATAAAAACTGAATAAAAACATCTCTTTTATCATTGTGGGCTATGAAGAAAATGTTTTTGGTTGCAGGGGGAGTTTTTTTGTTGCAATACTGTGAGTGGGAAAAATTGGATGAACAGCTGAATGACAGTGCCGTATTCGCCTCTCATCTACATCCATGCTAATACTAGGGGGAAACAGTTAGCCTGGCACTGTTTAATGGTAAATCAAAGTCCCAGCATAACATGGCATTTTAACAGATTAAGCAAATGTGATTTATAGTTTTAGTCTGTGAGGTGTAGGCATGATACTAGGTGGATTTTGTTGCTTTTACTCTAAGCCAAGCTGGCTGTGTCCTCCTGTTCCCAGTCTTTGCACCAAGATAAGCTAACCGGCTACTGGTTCTAGCTTCATATTCATTATAGAGACATGAGAGCATTATTGATCATTTAAGTCTTGGTAAAAAGAAAACAAGCTTAGTTCTAACTATTGCTTCATAAGGAGGGAAGCAGATGAAGCATTTTAACTGGGGCTTAAATGTGGTTAGAGATGGGGCAGGTTTTTTGGAGAGTCTGTACCCTCCAGTCAGAGGGTGGAGCAGCAGCCTCTATGTAGCCTGGGTAGAGAAACCCTGTGCAAAAAATACTTCTGTATATAGTGAGGAGGAGAAATTGGAGTTTGAAAAGTGGAGACATGAGTGAGAGTTTGAACTGAATGCAGGTGTGTAAAGATGCATGTGAGAATATACAAAGCTACGCAGATAGTTTGTCATTAACAAACTTAATTTTTCCATCTACAGGTGCCCTCTGCCCCTCCGACCTACACGGGGAGGCAGCTGTGGTGAGTGAGAGGATGTGAGGTTCAAAATGAAGAGAAGAGGATAGAGAGGGCGAGGAGGGAGGGGTCCAGCTGGTTGGACTGAACCTAAAAGATGCCAAGGGCCCTTTTGCTCTGTGTAGAGACTTTACTGGCTGTGTGAAAATCAACTGTTGTATGAGTGTGTGTGAGACTGAGAGAGGTTTGGTTTGGAGGACAGAGCTCAAGCTCTTCTAGCACACAAATCTCTGTAGAAGTGTTTAAAAGTGTGACCAACAAGTAGTGAAACAAAACACACTGACTCCGAGCTAAAAATATCAACATGCAGTATTCTTTTCCCTTTCGTTTGATTTACTCCCCCTGTGAGACTACAGCACTGTAAGCATCCTTGAAAACTGTGATATCTATTGCTTTTTCCTGCTCTATCTCACTTCCTGACAGTCGAGATGTCTTTTCTGCTCCTCTTCACAATGCTGGCGCTCAAGTGGAAACATTTGGCCCTGTCCTCCATCCATCCACAGCACAGGTGGAGAGAGAGCACACGGGCTACTGTACAGCTTGAGCACTGCCCGCTTAAAAAGAATCCAGCCTCTGTGGATGCATATATACAGTATATGAGAAGAAGTAGTGTGTGAGTATTCCCCACATCGCAACTCTACCACTGCTAACTTCTCTCTACAGACTGTTCACCCCAGCCATTCTCCTCTCACTCTATCTCTAGTAAAAGATCCACATTTCTCTGTGAATATGACACATGACTCTTCTCACTTGGCCTCATCCTTCCACCTGCATGGACACTTTGAAAAACAAAATGTGAACTGTGGTCGGAAAAGAAGTCCCACCCGTGACCGCAAACACAGCAAAAACACAACACAAGCAGCCTAGAGCACCTGAAGAGGAATGCACGCTGCTAATGAACTGCTGTTAAATAAACGACGGCACTGAGCGGATTGTGATTGGACGATGAGGCCGTCGGTCATCAGTAGGGAGGCGCTGCTTCATGAATCTAGGTCAGACTGTTGTGCTGCTCTCCCACATCTCCGTTGGCCACTGGCGGTTTGAACCAGCCAGGAGAAACTGCCACTTTATATCTGCAGGAAACAGAGCAAGGAAATGGCTTGAGAATGAAACAGTGTCCTGTTCTTAGTTCCTCTAAATGTGTTTTTGTGGGCATTTGTGAGTGTCGTGATTTTATGCATGTCAGGAGTTGACGGGGAAAATTCAGAGTCAAGGTTGCTTTTTGGTGCTAACTATTCCCCCACACAACTTCCCAATGAGGCGCAGAACTACAGGGACAACACTGATGCTGATGCAGTAGACAAAACGTGAGCAACAGACTATTTATAGAGAGCTGTGGCTGGCGTGTGGAGATATCCTAGAGCCTTAGAATGATCAGATTTACAGTGCAAGGTAGAAAGAGGGAGATCAAATGTAAGAGGTGCAGAAGGGAGGCTGGGAGGGGGAAGAGTGAGAGGAAGAGGATAACAAGAGAGACAGGGTCCAAGGGGAGTCCATGCGACAGACTTCCTTCAGTGAGCCTCCAATCTGTGTGAGAAAATGGCTCCCTGTTCGGTCTGTGTGTGTTTGTGTGATGTGGGGGTGGCCGTGCTGCTCTGCTCTGTGTGGTTGTCGTTATCTTGCAAAGTGTATCTCCTTCCTCCTCCAGCACCTCATCCTCCTCCTGTCTCCCTGTGGTCAGCTGTAGCTCAAGTCCCCGTGCCAAGAAGGATTCTTGTTTCACTGGAGTCTTCGTTTTATGCCCTTTCCTTTCATCATGACACCAGTTGTCTCTTTCACCCGAGAAGCTGTGTACATACAGTAGTAGTGCTGTAAAGCTTTGCTTGCTTGTTTACCTTTTTTTTAAACTCTAGTTTAGATACCAGTGTCATATGACCCACTGGAGAACTGACTACTGCAAACTGCTTTTATGTTTGTTTTTTAAAACTGGTTTGCTTTGTGTCCATACATTCACTTCTTATTATGCTTTGATTTTTCTCTAGCTGGTGTTTTATTATTTTTAAAACTAGCATTTTGGAAAAACTAGATTTTTTTGTTTGATTAATGTTCAAGGAAACCATATGATTTGTCATTTTTAGGGATTTGCATCATTTGTAGCTCCTGCACAGTACTCTCAGTCAAGACAGTGGTCCACTCTTTGCTGCAACACTTATGGGGATACAAAACTTATTTTTATTTTTCAGAAAAATGGAAATGGCTGTGAATAATTTCTGGCACTTCATGCAGTAAACAAACTCTTATCCTGTGACACTTTTGGGATAAAATACAAAAAATAGTGGGAAGAACAACTTAAGCGCACCAGTAACTATTGTGGAGACCCCTGTTCCTACTTCAACCCTAAGAAAAGACTACAGGCCACCCCTTTACTGCAGGTGTTTATTTATGTCTTACCCACTGGCTAGTCTAAAATAGAACTTGTACTAGTAGGCCAGCTCCATGCCCAAAGAGAACTTGTCCTCTGCTACAACAAGCTCTGTTTGGGCCAACCCTGGTCAGAAACAGGATCTTGGATCTGTGAGTCACAGCCCATGAATTAAAACTGTCCTCAGGGTTTTGGATGGTCAATAATAATGAGACAAAGCTCTGGAGCTGAGCAGCGAGGTGTCAATTCTTGTGGTGTTTTCACTCAGTGTGAAGTACAGAAAAAATGTGACATGTGACTTTGTAGATTTTGCACTTGTCAACTACCTATCTGTGCATGCTTATCACCATTTCTACATGTAAGACCTTTCTCAGACGTACTTTTGAATACTAACTATTTATGTAAAGGTCATGTGACAGCAATCATAACTAGTGTATATCAGATGACATACTTAATGTCTGTGCTTTCTTAAACACAAAAGAGAGCTGGGTCTTGAGGAGCAAAGAGATCAAAGTCAGGGGAAAGTGGTCCAAAACAATGATTCCCCCAAAAAGGAACAAAAAGCTAACATCACTGGACCTAATAATAACTTCCTCTGTTAGCTTGAAGACTTGAGGGGAAAAAAGAGAATCTTTCCACTGATATTGTCTCTGTGTTTAAAATCAAATAGACTGTGGTGAAACTTGCACAAAACTTCTATATGTTATGTTTGTCATTCTTGGGCAGCCATCCTCCCTGGGTTTGACATGTCCTTGCCTGTCCTCTCCTGATTTGTCTTGCCTTCAGACTGTTCCGATGGGGCAGCTGACAGGGGTGATATTGGTTTTCACAGCTGTGACTGTGCAGTGACGCAGCATGCCTATGTATAGAACACGATTCCCCTAATTAAAAAAAGAATAGAAAAGAAAAAGTTAACTCTCTTGATTCTGTAACTGATTCAGGAAAAAAAGTTCAATAAAGTGTCATGTTTGTAGTTAACGTTCAATTGTATATGGTGTTTTTTTTTTCCAGGTAGTGATACAGTGCCAAAATAAGAGCTAGACAAATACTGAGGTTGATAGATGTCATTGTTGGAGTGCTGAAAAATAAAATACACAAAATCCTTATCAGATTTTAAAACAAATTCCACAGCAAAATCCGCAAAAGATGAATTCACTTGCTCGCCAAGAGTTAAGAGAAGACTGATACCACTTATGTCTGGTTAATATAAAGCTGCTGCAAACAGCCAGTTTCCTTAGTAAATCAAAGAGGGGGAAAATTTAAAATCCAACAATTTCTTTTAAATCCCAAAGATGAAGTATCAGTTCTACAGGTGTCAGCAGCTTTTACACATAAGACCCTAGACATGACATGGCAATAATATTTGCTTTACCAGTTATATTTAAGAACATTGTGTTAATGTAACTTTGAATCAGTGTAATCCCAGTCCACACAGAGCTGAAATGTTTCAGTTTCGCTCGGTTCTCTCTGTGTAAACACAGTTGTATTTTACACTTCCACCTTAAGCTTGGAATCGTAGTCCAGAACCAGTTGTTATCTGGCTTTTCTCTGGCAGCTGGGTGTGCACTCCCTTCTGTTGCTGTGTGATCCAGTTTCAGTCAGGCCCAGTGCTACTAGACTCTGTGGAGCTGGCTGCACTATCAGATGTCCCCAGAATGAAATGGGCTGTTTTATCACCTTACCCTGTGGCAGCTGTCCCCCAGACTCTACATACAGCACCTGCAAAGGGAGATACATGACCTTCCTCATGCCGCACTGCGAGGCAGTGTGCACTGGTGACTGGGATGGTCAGGAAAGCCATCTATCACAAGACCGCCACCTCGCTGCTCTGCAGAGACACTGGCGAGGAAACCAGAAGTGTCCTCTCAGGTGTGCTGGGTGCAAGGAGTGATGGAAATGTGCCAGGAGTGCACTTTATTCACTTTAATTGACACAAAGTCAGGGAAAGACAGTTACAAGCCAGAGAGTCTGTAAAGCTGACATGAAGAAGAGCAAAGAACTGCAGATTCAGCTGAGCAGTATGCAGTCTTTTTGTCCAGAATATGAACTTTCCATGGCGGATCCATGGCTTGTAAGATGAAGTTTGATAGCCACCAGCTGCAAAAACTCCAACCAATTAGTCACATCATGCAAAAGACCAAAAATACTAAAAATACTACAGAAGTATACCATTATTTCGTAACATATACTACACAAGTATACCATCGTACAGTGTCATATATGAGTGGTTGTTTCCATATATTAGACCAAGCAACAAACCAACACACAGAGTTAGGAGATGTATTACAAGATTATTATCCCTTAAAATAGTAAGCTCTCAAGAGTATATCGACCGTTTCTTTTCACTGCACTGTCAGATCTGAGTGATGCTTTTAAACACTCTTCGTTTCCATCGCAGGGTAATTTCCTTTCCTGATAAACAGGATAGGAAGTGCTGCTCTGTATGACAAGTCACCTTTCACTCTGGCCTCAAGTCCTGGCTTGAATGGAAACGTTATAACCTCCTTTGTGGAGTGACATGTATTGCTAAGGAAAAGGCAAATGACAAGTCAAGGAAATATGTTTGATTCTCTTCCAGTGAGCTATCACCTAGAGGCACAGAGGGGAAATATTACATCTGTTACAAGAGGTTTCACTCCCGACAGTAGAATATGTGAACCGTACTATATGGTGTTCATTTGTTGGGCAAAACTCAAGCGGGGAAGTGATCCATCAAAAAGGCAATGAAAGCAATCAACTAATTAGACATGGTTCTCAGACTGTAAATCTCTGCCTGGTCATAACAAAGTGATACAGGCCTTTATAATGGCTTGTTTGACTGATCATTTTGGTCAGACATCCACCTAACAGAGTTTAATAGCCTTTAAACACCACTGTACACAGAGCTAATGATTTCAGTACCACCACCGTTCCTAACGAAGATGGAGATTGCAGTCAGGGATTTGTCACAGGTTTGGCTACAACCAGGAAATTATTTAGTGAGGGTGTGAATGCCATTTTCCTCTATGCTGTGCAGGCTGGGACTCAGCCACCCATCGGCCTCAGAGGACATCTGAGCGATGGGAGTGTGGACCATGTTGCTCTGAGGGGTGGCGGGAACCACTTGGATGGACACATCAGAGTTGCCATGCTGAGGACTTGCTGGAAGGTCTGTCATCGCTGAGCTCACTGCAGACAAACAAGATCTGCATCATCATTATGAATAGACTCAGGTTTTTCTCCTCTAGCAACATCTGCACCAAAGCAAACCCTTAAAATCTAAATCTAAAATGCATTTTCCTATAATAGATACCATAACTGATACTTTAATAATGGGCCTTCATAAACACAGTGTTTGTAATAAATCAAGAAGAAATGACAAAGCAGATAAGGCCACATCTTAAGCCAGACATGCCTCATTTCATGATATTCTACTGACAACAACATTGGGCTTGCTATTTTGATCCAAGTACTCTGACTCACCATTACTATTATTTCCATTAGGAGGAAAAGTGCTTTTCAGACCTAGCAAACCCCTCTGTTTTAAACATCAGCAACATGTCGGGCTACAGTCAAGGACAGCGCTGTGGTGACTCATGAGCTGTTGAGAGGTGCACCTGTGCGATGAGCCATGACCTTTTAACCTTGAGTATCAGTATGCATCTTCTCTCTGGGTCACTTCTCTGCTTATTGTCTTTCACTCCATCTCTAAGTCTGATTTCAGACTGTGAAATGGCAGAAGAGGTACTGCATGCTGGTCTCCTTGGGTCAAATGATCAGGAGTGCAGCTGTTGCAGGATCAACTTAAAGAGCGTCTAGGAGGGGCTTCTCTTAAATATCTCTCCCTCTTTATCTTTCTAACTCACCGTCTCGCTTTACCTCGGCTCCTATCCCAAACATGGGGTCATTTATCTGTCAATGCTGGAGGGCTGTGCTCACTTTATTACATCCAACAAACAAAACCAACAAACCAACTACAACTTTAGCACCAATCTCTTCCCCTCCCTTTCTCTTCCTCTCCCTTCCTGCAGCTATCACATATTTCTGTGTCACCGTCATTCACATCCATTTCAGATTCTGTTAAGGAGGTCAGAAAATGGCTTCCATTCAGGACAACAATCTGGGTAGAAGCTCTTGTATGCTCACGTGCACATCCCCAGGCCCCCTGCTGGAATGTCAGGTCAGCAGTAGCTGTGCAGTAGCTGGAGTTAGCAGCGGCAGCACAGTGTGGTTGTGGCATCCCAGTGGAAGGATGTTCATTTGCCAGCCATGGCTGCAGCGAGAGCCTTTGTTGTGTGGAATGTGTCAGTGTGGAAGCAGCCAGCATTTGTGAGGATGTTATTGTTTGTGAGTGACAAAAACAGAGCTGCTACCATGACTAGCTCGAACATGCATGTTGGAGTGTGAGTGTGTGTCCTCCAACTGCAGTAAGTCCACAGTGCCTTGTTATCATGTTCGTAGTCTGTCTTGGATAAATAAGTATGATGTGTATGGAGTCACTTTTATTGCCACCACACACAATTGGTTCAGTACACAGAACTGTAAATTATTGAGAAATGGGTATGGAGGGCCATACCTCATTTTGACATTGCCAACTCTAGAGTATTAAAGCAATTTTAATTCTATTTGTGTTGATGTTCCTGCCTTTTTAATAAAATCTTAATGTATATGCTGAGATTTTTTTTACTAGAACACAGGGGGTGGACACTTGTACAGTGTACCGCTGTGTGTTTGTGTGGTCAAAGACAAAGTTTTGTCACTCTCCTTGAGCTCTAATGCTAGTCAGTCACACTGGACATGGCTCTGCATTCTCAGCTGCTCGACTGTGTATTTCATGGGCGCATGCACACATATATACACACACTAAAGCCTGGACACATTTGATCATTTTATACTTCTCTTCCCTCCCTTTTTGGTCTGTATCACCTCTGTTTCATCACATGCATCCCCAGTCCCTGTCCTCAGCTCCATCTCTGTGACATAAACACATCCTGAGCGCTGCAGACATTTTCTTTCTCTCCTCTGCTTGAAATTGTTTCTTTCTTTCTCCTACTTGCTCACCTTGCCTCTTTCTCTGTCACTGAGACTGTACTATGCATGGGTGTGTATATTTATGTAAATGTGAATAGTAGCATACAGGTTGTTATCTCTGCATTCAAGCTTGTGTGTGAATGTTGACGTCCTCCCTGCCTCTCAGTAGTTGTTGTCAGCCACAGGAGAACATCCAAGATCAATGGTACTGTATTGCCAGCAAGCTCGAGGCCTGGCATTGAGCGATACCATGCGAATGTGAGTATTTGTGTATGTGTGCGCTCTCACCTCGGCTTCCTGGGTGGGACCAGAACTGTTTGACAGTTTCGTTATTGTCATGGTTCTCTCTCAGTTCTTTCTGCCACTGGCGCAGCTCCTGTACATCTGGACGTGCCCTGACCTATAACACACACAGTACATGTGCAAGGACAGCACATGCATAAATTCACATATGCAAACATAATCAATAACTTAATTAACTTGTAAGCTAACCAGTAGTTGAAAGCCACAAGTGCTTCATCATCTCTGCTATAATTAAAGACCAAAGGTTACCAGGCTTTTTGCCACTAGGCCCCCTCGGCGTTGGTCGTCCATGGATAAAGATATTAGGTTTGTAGATTGGTAACATCTTTTATATCACTTCTCAAAGCCCATTTTAGACGACGACTTATTAATCTTGTGTATTTCATTCTCTGTACTTTTATTTGCCTGATTTTTTTAATCATGATCAAATCGTGATTTCCCACATGAAGCACCTTAACCATACCTCTGATTTCAGAGGTGCTTTATAAATAAGGTTTATTATTACTATCATTATTGTAGTTTTAATGTGTGTAAAGTAATGAATTTATGCAGCATTCAAGCCATCTGTCAATAAGCTGTATGAGATTTATCTCCCCGTCCAGTTAGTATGAGTTATGTGTGTGTGTGTGTGTGGGCCGGAGGCTTTCCTGGGACATTATAACAACAAGTCTGTTTAGTAGATTAATAGACAATATCCCTCAAGACCCCACTCTTCCTTCTTCATCTCCTCATCCTATGATTAACTGTGCCTCTTTCTCCTTACTCCTTTTTTTGTCTTACTGGCTCTTGTCTTTCTCTTTCAGTACCCAGGTGCACCTCTGCCTCTCCTTCCTCTCAGCCTCACATCCAATCTCTCATACCTGCACCTTATTTTGCAGTACATCAGTGTTCCCTCCCTCTCATCTCTCTACTCTGTATTCTCTCCCACCTCTCCTCCCTCCAATCTTGTTTTCTCTTTCTTCATCCTACCTTAACCCCAACTTTATCCCCCGAGTGCCTGCTTGTATGGTGACAACAGTGTTGCTATTAGCAGTGGGTATTAAGGTTGGCATGTTATACAAGCTTGGTGATGGGTTGAGGAATGGGTAAGACTAGTGAGATCTAATAGTTAATTCATCGGGTGTCACAGTGCTGCAACAGCTCCTCTACTGATGGGAGCAAACTATAGAAATGGAAATGAAGGGTGAGGGTCAGGATGGATGGGGGATGGGGGTGGATTCTGTCCTGTTTGCTCACCATCGCTGTGTGTCTTTTTGTCTGAGCGGCCATTTCTACTCTGTGCTATTTCCCACTTGTACCCTGCAGAAAGCTAAACCTCCAGTTTTGAGCCTGACCCGTTGGACCCTTGTGATGTGTCAAATGTGACACACAGAAGACAAAACAGCTTTTCTCATTTTTTAGAAAGCTGAAGCCTTGAATATACAAGCTTTCTACAAGATACTGGCTGCTTGGTGTGATGGAAAGACACAAAGAGCTAAGTGTGTGTGTGTGTGTGTGTGTGTGAGCATTCTGAAGCCTGTCTGTGTGCATCACCACAGCTGATTAGCAGGGGTGAGGTACTGTTTTGACTGTGTGCAAGGTCTGGGACAATGTAATTAATAGAGCATATACATCTGAGCTTGATTTACACCACCAAGTTATATATTTTTCACCTATCCCTCCTAGTTTGAATCCTTAGCGACCACTAATACCGTAGCTTCTTTCTATAACTGTCACTCTACATGTGACAGTATGTTCCAGTGTGCATGCAAGTCAGTCCTCTCATGCTCTGTATATGCATGAAGGCTGGGACTATGGTGGTGATATGAGTAATTAGCAAAACAGTGAAAGGCTGCATACGTTTATGTGCATTATTTGACATGCAAAGCACAGCCACAGGCAAACACACATACTGAAAAACACAGAGAAGCACAAGGCACTAAAAAGAGGAACTCCATCCTCCTCCATATCTCAAAGCCGACACCATCAGCAACACAAACGGAGCCTCCTACACGCATCCGCAAAAACATGTACAACCACACAGCTACACAGTGACACAGTATGCGCTCCTCGCCTTCTTCTTACACACACTTCAGTCCCAGTGCACAGCCTTTCAAGCTGCCTTCCTTTGTGTGCAAAGCTGCCTGTGAGACTGAGCTCCTCTCCCAGTCTCACGCTTTGCAGCAGCACAATGGCCTCAGTTCAGAGAGCCTAACTGCAGGTCACATCTAGAGCCACACTGACAAACTATATAAAGACACAGCTATTACAGCCTGCTCTATCTATCCTTCAAACTCATCCACCAATTACTCCATCATCTTTTTGTGCGATTGATGCTTCCATTGAGTCTTAACCAGCCAAGCAACCTATGAAGTGATCCATGCCTCTGCAGACTTACACAGTAAGTGGTTTGACTGTGACCCTACTGTCCTGTAAAAACACTTAAAAGTCCAATAAAATACTTTGTGTTACAGATGAATGTGGATATTACAGGACTACCTATGTAAGCCCCTTCATGCTAAGACCAGCCCATCTCACTGTGGGCCAGTGTGACTCTACAGTCCCTCTGCAGGAGAGGAAGCGAGGACAAAGCAGACCCAATACTACTGAATGTCCTAAGTGCCTGTGACATACAGTATTTTCTGCATGTGTGTCGCTGCACATGACCAGTCACTGACTTAACAATGGACCTCAATTCAAACCATTCATTAATTGCTGCCCTTGGGTCATTCAGCTGGAATCACAGACCTACTTCTGCTGTTGACTATACAGTTCTCTGAGTAGAAGTGTGTGTGTCATAACATTTTAAGCAGCTCTGTTATTTAATGTCAAGTGGAATATTGCTCAGTATTCATGATTCCCCACTTTTTGACAACAACTGGACACACTAGTCCAAGAAGATATTTGGGAAGACATGCTGGGACTGTAACAGGGCCCACGTCATTAGTCAAAATTACTTAACATATGAAAATAAAATTTAAAAAAATGTTCACATAAGAAACCAAGCATGCATTTCAGGTGAAAACAATCATCACTGTGAGTGCAGTTATTTGAAAGAATAAAGTGTATGAACACAAAAAAATCTTAAGGCAAAGTTTGATATTTTGGGAAATACACTTTCCTGCAGTGCTAAATGATAAGATCGATACCATTCTGATGTCTGTCATAAAAATCTGAAACTAAAGCCAGAGGTCTGTTAGCTTAGATTAGCACAAAGACTGGAAACAGGAGAAACCGTTTGCCTGAGGTAATAAAATCCACCAATCAGCACCTCTAATACTCTAAATAACATGTTATATCTAGTTTGTTTAATCTGTACCAAAAAACAAAGTGTGAAAACAACAATTCCTGGTTACAGGGGATTATGTGGTGGACAGTTTATTGTCAGTAGTTGGTTGCTTATCGAATAAAGAAACAGTGACATGCAACCTGCATAAAAAAAATAAACCTGTTAGTCTGTTTCCTGTCTTATGCTAAACTTAGCTGCTGGCTATTACTTTGCATTTACTGACCAGTTATGAAAGTGGGATCAATCTTCTCATATAATTTTCTGCTTTAAAACAAATAACTGCATTTGCCAAAATGTCAATCTAGTTTTCACACATACAGTATCTGACCTGGGTTGGTGTGACATGTGATTTTTAATGTTAGATAAGTGTAGACAAAGCTAGGCCGCACAGGACAGTGCTGGGCTATAGGCAACATGTGTATACTTAATAAATATGCAAATGGATACAGTGGGAATGATTATGCTAAAAGCCTCCTTCTTTATTTCACCACAACTTCCTAATATTGACAACCTAATTGTAAAGTCATATTTATTACACTGACTAGACTTAAGAGAGCCTGAGGAATCCAGCGTGTGTGAGTGTGTGTGTGTGTGTGTGTGTGTGCATTAGAGAAGAAGGCCGGGGTTGAATGGATTACAGCTGGGCTAAGGCACACAGTCTAAAGAAGATTGTTATATGTTAAGATCTAGCAGCTTTTTACAGTTGTACGTGAGCGGGGTAAGTGACACTCGCATTGTCTGGGTCATAGGTGTGTTACAGTGTGTGTGTGTGAGTGAGAGAGAGAGCTTGTGTCTCTATGCATACTCTCTCCAGCGCTGTTGTTTTTCTATTCTCAATATGTTTTGATGAAAGAGATTAAAAATAAAGGGATAAAAGTCCAATCTACAAAAATATGGTCCTTCCCTGCTTCTTTCTTACACACACATCCACACAAAAACACACAGTCAGTATTCTGCAGTCAGTGCTGCATCAAGCAGGTTATATAACAGTGGAGAGAGTAAGAGTGAGAGGGGAAGAGAGAGTGAGAACAGAGTACACTGATAAAGATTGAGGAGTATAACTAGGATAAAACTGATATTATGATTCATTATCAAAGCTTTAGAATGACACATTCAAAAACCACATAAAAACTGGTTTCATCACTGAGTCAGTATTTTTGTGTTTTTGTACAGCAAAATACCATAATCTTATTATACTCATATCCACAAGTACATACAAATCTCACAGTGGAACAGATGATGATGAAATGTATTATTGTTCACTTGGATATGGTATATGGGAACCACTATCACTATCAGTCTGTTTTGTTAGAAGCTATTTACAATGAGAGACAATAAATAAATGACCATATGAATTATCGCATGTTGTTTGCAAACAGATACAGAATGGTGACAAGTTAAAGGAAAACCAAATGTTCTCTTGCAGGATGATAACAGGACACAAGGGGTCACTGAATGGTTCAGTGAGTACGAGCATGAAGGGAATTCAGTGTCACCAGATCTCAACCCATTTGAACACCTGTGGGAGATTTTGGAGCAACATCCTTGACAGTGTCTCCACCACCATCACCAAAACAACAAAATTAAGAAGAATGCTGTTCATCCCTCCAATAGAGTTCAGAGACTTGTAGAACCAATGCCAAAACACTTTATATTGGTTTTTCCTTTAATCTGTCACCCGTATGTATTTACACATTCTCATGACAGCAGACACACATGGACACACCTGATGTTACACACATATAGACACACTGAAACAAATTAAGTTTTACAGTGCATCTTGGTGCTGATGTCTCAGTCTCTGCTCTGCTGCGCACTGTGCTGTCAACTGCTGCATTTCTCAAGCCAGTTTAACAGCAGCCAGTCAGCGCCTGTCAGGTCTTTTGCCTTGGTGCCTTCCCAAAATATCCCCACCCTGTGCATGCTGAATAAGTCATGATTCTGTGTCTTTAAGAAGCTAACTATCAAACTTGGACCTTGACTGTGCTGCATTCACAGCATCTCTGTGCTTCATCCTCCATTTTTCTCCCTATTCTTACCCATTACAGATGTTGCCAAGCTGCACTTCTCTCCATCTTGGTCCTACTCCTAACCTGAAGCCACTCTGCAGTGTCATTTTGTCTCTTTCCTCCTTATTGTCATCCATCCATTCAAAAATGTCCCAAAAATAGCCCACGTTTCATCCTTCCAGATATGTCCTCATTCTTTTCCTACTGACTCTCTGTCTCTTTCTGCTATCTCCAAATTTCACTGAATCCCTTGAGCTGCAGGGCTGCAGTGCTATCAGTGGCCCTACTGAACCTCTCTTAGTTCAGGGTAAACACAGTGAGGAAGGGCAGGCAGCTGGCTCACTGCTGCCACCCCATGTGAGCAGAGGTCAATTAGATTTTATGCTATTACAGAAAAAAGAGCAAGTGTTGCCCCCTGCTGGTACACAAGTCCTCCCAATCCAGATGCACCCGCACACACATTTTGCATATCTTTTCATTCATACACACAAATTCAACAACATCCTAAAGTATATTTTCAGATCATTGAAACAGAATAAAATTCTACATGACAGCACAGCTGGCATCTTTTTCTTTGAACAATTTGGACTGAAGCTGAATTCTCCCACAAGCATGAAGGGTAAAAAAAAAAAAAAAGAGCTTCTGGTGAGCAAACAGAAATAGGACCCCTGCTTGCATCTTTACATGAATATTTATGATGATAGTGGAGAAATTACTGCTGTTTGCCTTTGATAGAGACGTTGTGTGTCTATTTATACCAAAGCACTGCAGACCACAGCACCCACACAGGAAGGAATTAAAGCCTGATGACATAATCAAGCTGCTGAATGAAATTGCAGTCCTGTGGAAGAGGGGCTTTTCAGCGGGACAGGATTACACAACAAGATCACACTGTGGGCCAAAGCATATGTAGGAGGGTGCCTACTGTATCCTAACAGACCCCCCCACACACAAATTGGCAGACAGACTCGCAGTATCTGAAGTAATTGCAGGGTTTCTTTATGCTTTTGACTTCAAAATCCAACCGTTCTTCCTACAGTGTAAAGTTTAAATCAACTTGAAAAGTTTGGAAGGTGGTAATTAGAGTTGGCCAGCATGACAAGCCCAGACAGGCATAGCTTAAAACTGTATGCAAATATGTGAAGCAATGTAGTAAGCATCCAGGATTAAGCAGCATTTCTACAATTTCTCCAGGCTTTTAATTTGACATTTGCATAATTTTCATAGGCTTTTGTGTTTAAGCTTATTTTCTTTACTTTTTGAGGCTTATCAGACCTTTCTAATGAACTCTGTCTGTAGTCCCAGATCTAGTCCATACATATAGAGTTGGACAGAAAGCTGGTAAACACCATTGTGCTTCTAGTCATGTCCAGTGTACCTTGTATCCCCTCCAGAATGCCTGGACGTGCAGAGCAGCCTGATCCTCGCTCAGCAGCAGAAACAGAGGGATTGGAGGCCTAGGACTATGGAAGTATGGAGAAAGAAACAAAGAAAAATTTGTAACAAGAGACAAGACAGGATGGTGTGTAACATAAAAAAAAATACATCCTGGATCTGTGAATCTGCATGTTTTTTTGTGTTGCCATAACTTTAATCTGGTTTCTGCATATACTGAAATTTTTGACACTGGAGATTGGACAGGAACCCAGTGAGCATGAAACTCCAGAAGACAAACTTCAGACAAAACACAGGAGATTAATTTGTTGGTGATGACAATGATTTTGCAGGTAACGACAAGACAAGTGACAGGTTGAGGAATCACTCACTGCATGATGAGCCAGTCCTTGACAAAGGGGATGTCATGGAAGTTCACGGGGACCTGTCCTTGTCTGTGGGGGTTATGGCTGAGGAAAAAGGAAGCATACAAGAGGGCAAAATATGACAATGTTTCTGCACGTAGCACTTCAATTATGACAAAGAGAATTTAGGGGGCGAGGTGAAGAGAGAATTATAGAGTGAAGAGAGAGCTCTGTGTGTGTGTGTGTGTGTGTGTGGGAAGGCTCTTACTTGTATAACCACTCAGTTAGAAAGTCACATGGGTTAAATGGTGTTTGCTTCCTCTGCAACACAAAAGAAAGTAATCAATGCAATGCAACATGCAAAAAGACATTCAGCACCATATGGATTTATTTCATGAGCAAAAATAGAATCAGAATAAGAATTCACTTTAATCGCCAAGTATGTTGAGCAGACAAGGAATCTGTCTTCAGCACAGAGGCTCTCAGTGTGTTTTAGGCAAAAGACAATAGAATAGTACAATAAAGGGTAGGGGAAGTGTGGGAGGAGGAGCAGGAGAGACAGTAATCATAAACATTATATGCACATTCCAAGCTATCAGACTGGTGCATGTAGTGGTACTATTTACAACTATTGCACTGCGGTGGCTGCCAAATCCTGTCGATTCAGTCATAGTTAACTGCTAATTAGAATAATGGTGGGGAGAAGAAACTGTCCACGTGTCTGTTTTAATGTACAGTGTTGTTTAGCGCCATCCAGAGAGGAGGAGTTCAAACAAGTCGTGCCCAGCGTGTGAGAGGTCTGCAGAAATCTTCTCTGCCCTCTTTTTAACCTGTGAGGCAGGGGTGGCCAATTCCAGTTCTCGAGGGCCAGCTTCTGACTGGCTGAACACACCTGAGCCAGGTAATCAGCAGCAAGTCAGGCAGGGATAGTTGGAAAACAAGCAGGACAGCGGCCCTCGAGGACTAGAATTGGCCACCCCTGCTGTGAGGAGTCAAATGTCCCATGCTAGTTCAGATTCAGATTCAACTTTATTATCATTACCCATGTACAAGTACAAGGCAATGAAATACAGTTTAGCATCTAACCAGAAGAGCAATAACAGCAGTGCAGAGTGCACAGTATCTACATTATGAACAGTCAGTAATAATTTACCAATAGATATGTACCACTGACATTTACAGTGAGCTATGTACAATATACAACAGACTTAATAGATTAAATTACAAGTAATGGATGGTAATGGTAATGGAGAGTTATCTGGTCGGCTAAGTGCTGCAATGCATTGTTAGTGGAGGCCTGGGGCAGAATATAAACACCGATCAAAATGAATGAGGAGATTTCGCTCAGTGAATAAAATGGTCTGCAGTTAAGGAATAGTGTCTCTATTTCTGAGTTACAACTCAGTCCTTCAGTTTATTAAAAAAACTGAAATAAATATGGATATACATGGTTTTCAAAGGACAAAAAGGGCATGAAAAATGTAATCTGCAAAGTAGCTAATGACTTAAGATGTCAGACTAAAAGTGCAACATTTGTCTCTTAAATGTAGTGGAGTATAAGTATAAAGTCAAAAAAATGGAAATACACATGTGAACTACAAGTACCTCAAATTTGTACTTAAGTACTTACATTTGAGTAAATGTAGTCAGGTAGCTACATTTCCCCACTGGGCACATCTTTCCATTTCCATGTGAACAGACAGTGCAACCAAAACACAGATTCCTTTATTATATATTATATTATTTAGCTATATGAAGTTCTTTACTATATGTAATCTGTGAATCTTTTAATACTGGCTGCCTGTAGTTTGTTAAATAGTTGTTAATTTAGACCTTAGACCTGGAAACATCCATGTTTCTGAGCTTCTTTCAGCAAAGCCTCCAGTCCAGGCAACAACACTGGAAACACTCTCTTCTCCAAGAACTTTGTCACAGGATCTGACACAAACACAAATACATGTACATTATATGCAGCAGGATGTCAGAAATACTTGCATGCAGTTACTCTCCATAGGGCGAACCCCACTCATCTTAACAGCAGGAAAAACTGTCCAGGAGCCTCAGCCCCTGATGGACCTCCAAAGACCCAGGTTTACACTACTCTATTTCTGTCGACCTAACTTGATTAATTGCACAGTTGTTAGACATCTGCATGACTAAAGTGGAATGTCAACTATAACAGATCATCAATCTTCCATCTAGTTTTAAGACCACAACTGTTTTTGCTTGCTGCAAAATCAGACGGGGCTCAAACCCAGAACCTTCTTGCTGTGAGGTAATAGTGCTAACCACCACTGCACTGTGCCACCCTGCCCAAAACTCGAGTGAACATATACAGAATGATTTGTTTTTCTGTCTGACCAACAACCAAAACCCCCAAAATGTTGAGAGAACTAGCAAATATTCACATCTGTGAAACTGGTTTCAGTGAATTATTGGCATTTATGCATAAAAAGGACACTATTATTTGGTTATAGCTGTTATAAATTTCCTGTCAATAAGCTAATCATTTCAGCTCTAGAGCACTTGTTGGCTTTTGGGTGCCCAAAGAAACATTTAACTACAATTCAATATGGGCCTAACTACAACAAACTCCCTGGCCATGCATATGCATCTTACGTTGTGGAGTCGATGCAGTTCTAACTGCTGACAGGGACTTTTGGCTTGGAGAAGGAGGTTTTCCTAACACAGAGTAGTCAGCAAGATCAAGTTGGCACAGAAGTGGGTCAGAGTCTCTCAGATGATAATCATCTACAACCACCTTAAGAAACCAGAGACTACAGTAAATACTTAAGATGATGTTGGAGTGAAAGGCAGTGGACTAGTGTGACAGATTTGTACATCTGACCTTGGCTGTGGTGAGTCCATAAAAGGCCGGGGAGGGTGTGCTGGCGCTGTACTGGGAGAACTGGGTGCTCACTGAGCTTCTATCTGTCCACACAGCACTGGGAGGACTGGGCTGCTCAGCTTCATACTCTACAAACACACACAACACAGCTTTAATTTTAACAACTCACAAAAACTTAAGTGAACAGAGCAACTATCATCTTACCTTCACACACTTGTTCCCAAAGTGATTTTTTGGCACCGACGGTCTTTGCCATTTTTGTGTTAGTTTTCGCTGGCGGTTGCTAGGGACTCGTTGGTCGCCAAGGGGCACTTCCGGTGTAAACACCTTACGACAACAAGAGCAGATCGGGAATGAGAGACAAATGGACATACAAGCGGTATACCGATCGATCATCTAATCATAACCACAAAGTTACACATTACAATAACGTCAGTAGCTGCATAATATGGGCTAAAACATACGTTACCAGAACAGGGCAGTGGGCCATTAGTTTTGTTTTCCGTGATCAGGCCATTGTGGACTCGCACATAGTTCATACCCGTGGTCACAACAGACAACGTCGAGTTTGGGTCCCTTTAGCCTTTTTTGTTCTAAATAAAACATGTTCCTTGCAGTTAGTGTACGTATAAGAAAATAAATCACTGAAACTTTATTAATGCGGTTCCCATAATCTCCACTAGAGGTCAGACGATAACTTTGGCTCAAGTAAGACTATTGGGGAAAAAAAGAGAGATAATTCATTTGTAAATAAGTGACGTAGCCTACACTATAATGTTGTCCGATTTGTTAACTAAAGGTTTCCCAAATTATGGTTACTTCATTTTTATCATATTAATGGACAGACAGGGATATCTGACTAATGTACCAAACTGTTTGCCTGATTAAAAATGAACATGTAGGCTATGCTGCATTTTCATGGATAAATCAAGGATTAAATAAAGCAATTCAGTTCAACAATGTTGTAATTATGTTGATTGTTGTATTTAGCATAAAATATCTGATGTACAACTGCTGCTGTTTTTTTTTGGGGGGTGGGGTGGGGGTGGGGGGTTCTCTGCAAAATCAGATGTGTCATGGCTGGCTCTAAACGAATGGTGCCAAGGATCAGGCATGGAGTGCAAGTGCAAGAAAACCCAATATTTCATTGTACATTGTATTTTTTTTTTCTACAAATATATTAAATTAGTAAATAAAGTTTTTGATGAAAATGGCATAGTACAGTAATATTCTTCATCCATGATTATATTAATCAGAGGAGTGTCTTCAAAATTAAAGTCTTTATTGGAATATATTCCAAAGCAGTTAAGTCATTTCATGACTAAACAAAAATAGCAATTTATCATAAAAAAAAAGTCCCGAGAAGGTTCCAAAATGCACTGAAGAGCTTCTGACAAAATATACATTGCAGCAATCCATCTTGCAATAACTAATCGACTTGTTAATAAATAAGATTGAATATTTTTACACATTTTAGACTTACCCTTACATTTTCATCCAAAATTTGACACCTCCCACCATTTTTTTTAACCAACTGTGGAGACCTGTGCCACAAACATGTCTTTAACAAGTTGTTGCAGTGCATCCTCTAACATAATAAACAACCCACAAAACAAAAGCAAAAAAACATGAGCAACAGTAGAAATAATAGTAGTAATACAATAATGATGGTAATGACAGGATGGTATTTATAAAGAAACACTGATAAAAGTAGATCTTATAAAAGGACCAACTATCAACAGTGAAATATACAAATTACATTCCATCAGAGTTTCAGGACAGATCAAGCCCATGGGAGGAGGGTGTTTATAACTGAGCAAGAAAACCAGAAGGAGCCCTCTTCTGATAGAAAAGGAAAAGAAAAATCAGTCTTGTGTGCGGGCGTAGCTATATTATTTAGCTTTCGGCATTAATTGGTAACTTGAGATTCAGGCACAGGACCTGATCTGCAGAGAGAAGACGTAAATCCATGATGCATATAAAGGTTAGAGTATGGTAACATGCTAACATTAATCCTGGAGTCCACCCATAAGCAAACACACATTATGTCTAATGTACATAGTGAAGAGCCTCCTAATACCACAAACACCTAGAGCCCAGGTCAGTGGTTAGTGTTGCTGTGTAGTTAAAGTTTGACTCGCATCAAGCCTCCACTCGAGAAAACATTCAGAGCTTGTCCATAGGCAGCATGTTCATTAAAAAAATAACTTAATTATGGCTATATGGCATGATGGCAAGCCTTGAATGTAGTGAACCTTACATGTGAGTGTGCTCCAGTTCTCTGCGCAGCAACGAAGAGAATGACATGCCTGGACAGTGCCGCAAGCAAAGATGCACTGGCTAAGATCCTGAAAATACGTAGTACTGTAGACTAAAAGGAAAACAAAGTATAGACAACTAAGAACAAAAACTAAATCAGAATGAGATATAGCATGTGAGGAAATGGTGAAGATGTCAGTAATCCCTCATTTCAATCATCCACCTCCTTGTAAAAGTGGAAGGTGCCAAGAGGGGGATGGATTTGTCCATTCAGTGGAGCCTGGCTCCCTCATGGGCTGATTCAGTGCAAGAGGCCTTTTACAAAAAGGGGACTGAGACTTTTAGCTTCTTCTGTGGTTCTGTTCCTCTTCTACGGTTCGACACAGCCCTCATACAGACCTTTCTGTAATTCTTTCAGTATTACAAAACATGTTCATTATTCATCCAGGGCACATTCCAGTAACAATTCGCACCTTTGTGTCTTTAAAATCTTTAATTCAAAAACGTCCACAAAGTACCACGGAGTCCCCTCTGCTTTCAAGAAGTTGGTGAGAGCTATTTACAGACAGGGTGATATGTCTTATATGAGTGTGTATGTTAGTGGTTGGTTCACTGAGGCCGAGGTTCACCATGGACTCTGAAGCGGTACAGGCAGGTGTACTCTGGGTGACCCCAGTTAGACAGCACCCGCACCTCAATGATCTGGAAGGCCTTGTCGTTCTGCTCCTGAAAGAAAATAGGGTAAATATTTAGCAGATGCTAGCCAACTCGAAGCGGTTTTTATTTGCAAGTGCCTCTTGTTACCGTAACAGGGAAGGTTTGCAGCGACTCCCCAGCCTCCTGATATGTGAAGTGGGCTAGCATCTTCCCTTCTTCTTGGTACTCATCATCTAGTCCCTGTACATAAATAACCATCAGTGAACATAGCCATTACTAACTAATGCTTGCATTAGGCAAACTAAGTGTTAAACTGCATGGCTTTATGTTGGTATGCTTCTTACAAACACAGTAAAGTTGCGTGGGGCACTGGTGATGTTTCCAGTTGGGGACAAGGCTTTGGGAATGTGCTCCACGCAGAAGGATGTGGGCAGGATTCTCAGGGATAGCCGGATCACCAGATAACCCTGGGAGCCTTTGAACGCCCAGCAGTTACCTGGGTACACATCAGGCTGAGGAGGGAAAGTGAGAGGACAAATGCTAACATGAATTTCATAACAGTAGCTGAGACTTGGGACTTAGTTTTTCTACTAAATCAGCAAAATATAAGTGTCTCTTGGATATATTCTGGAGAGGCTCACCTGGATGACAACACGTGGCGACTGGGAGAAGTACCACAGTGGCAGACCAAACAGACTCATGAGCGCTGTCTTGGTCTCATAAGTCTCAGAGCAGCGGGTACTGAGGATGCTGCCACCTGAACATGCATACAGAGGAAAAACAGGAAACATAATTATGTCAGTTATGAGTTTAAGCTGATATCAAACAGCTATGAATTAACTTTACAGTGACTGCAGAGGCAAAGTTTCAAACCTTATCATTCTGCACATCACACATGGTGCACATCTAACACTGCATACCAGTTATAATGCCCAAGCATTAGTAGCTTTTTAAAGACTTTGTGGCATTTTAGTCTGTAATGAATATGCACTGAGCTGCACCTTATAATGTTAGTACACTCTCTTGCTGCTAACCTGATTAGGTCCCATACATCCCTTTTTATTTGTTCATATTTTTATAATGACTTATACAATTTTGTGTTATGTAAATAATGCGTCTTTGAAGCCGAGAGCTGCCGGAAAAGATTTCGTTGTGCTATGCATAATGACAATAAAGATTCTTGACTTGACTTGATATAGACAGACAGGAAATATGGAAAAAGAGAGGACATTGAGGTGCAACAAAGGACTGTGGCCTGAATCAAACCAGTTTTTCTGAGATGAACCCCACATGTAGGTCAACAGACTGCTCAGTAATAAACTTGCCAATGGAGCCTAAGCTTTTGCTATTACCAAACACCCTGTTGTCCTCAAGCCTGAATAATACCTGCACCCTCATTAACTTAGAGACATACTATACATTTGAGCACAGTTACCTTGCTAATCCATCCCACTCACCATTGGGTTAACTACTGACATTTATAATAGGTCCAGGAGGAATAAGCAGTGATATCGATGTGAAGTTTCCTTCTTACCTCCAGACTCCAGGGCATAGTCCACCAGGCCTGTCCGATCCTGAGAGTACAGCTTCAGAGCATTCTGGACGATCAGCTTCACTTGCTGAGATAGAAGTCACAATGCATGAATCACAGATTTGCCTCAAACCAATGGCAAACCAACACTTGGTTCATGTAATTAAGATGGAAGCTGACAGTGATGATGTTGATGGCGGTGTATGTTACCTCTTCTGTCAGTCCCTCAGCAGCAGCGGTGTGCTGGACAGTCCCGGTTACCGTCTGAACAATGGCCTTGGCTTGAGACTCAGCCTCTCCCAGGGTCTGGGCTTGGTTAAGCTCCAGCTGCAGTGACACATTTCTCAGGATACTCGACTCCAGCGAGGCCAGTGAGGCTTGTAGGTCGGATGTGCTCACGTAGCGCTGGGACAGCCAGTGGATCAGAGACTCAGGAACCTCTCCCTGCTGCTCTCCAGACCCCCCACTGCCAAAAAACAGAGCCTGCAACTCCTTGCGCACCTGTGAGGATACCTGGGCTGATATCTAGAAAAGAGATGCACAGAAATATGATCAATAAAGACATTTAACTGAAAAATGCATGTCAGAAAAATCTTCACACTAAGGGCAGATTAGCTTGATATTACAGGAATCAACCTACCGTCTCCTGCAGTGCGCCCAGCTGCTCACACTTGCCCTTGCATCCCAAAACACCCTGCAAGTCCTGTTTGATTTTATCCAGGTCTACCTGAAGTCTGTGCACCTCTGCCAGCAGAGCATCATGGTCCTCCTGCTTCAAACCCACACTGAGACAGAATCGACACGTGAGCTGCCATAGTCTTCAACAACGTGGTTTAAAATGTGAACAGTACATACAATAAAATCAATCCACCCAAAAGTATATTTAAAAGGTTACTAATTTCTCTCAGCTTTTGTACCTGACAGGAGCTGTGCTGTCTTTCTCTCTTTCCTGCTCCTGGTGTTCATACCGCTGCTGCCGCTTCAAATTCAATAGCACATACAACAGTGTGGATCAATAGCAAAGAAAATACAAGGAAAACTTTCACAATACAGAAAACACTAAATGACAGGGGATGTTAGCGTCCCGTCCTATGAAAGAAAAACACAATGTGTGTGTGTGTGTGTGAATATATGGATTTAATAATAGTTTGTCTTTTTTCTTGTTAGGTTTTTCCTCATTTAAATGCACACACACCTTTTCCTGTTGACTTACAAAAGCACATTGAGAGCCACTGTACCGGGGTCACATTCCTTGTGCTCAAAGTACTTGGTAAATGAAAATTATTCTGATTCTGTGATGTTAACTCACTATGTGCATAACCGTGAAACTAAATGAAAAAGCCATCTTTTCACATTCCTCATGCATTCTGTGATATGTTCAGGATGTTTACTCTGAAAAACCAGTGAACCTGCTGTACATACCTCGGTCTTGGCAGCCAGAACACTGAGCAGCGAACCTAAAGCAGCCAGTCGCTCTGCCTGACTCTCCTGCTCCTTCTTATACTGGTCTAAATTCTGTAAAATAGTGAACTGCATGTAAATTTCTCAGAAAAATATTATTCTTGTAACTCAAGACAAACTTTCACCACCACCAACTCCCTACCTGGTCTCGGTGTGTGGTCTCCTGCTCCAGCTCTTTTCGCAGCACGCTGAGCCTCTGATCCAGCAGTGTGAACACAAACGGTTTCAAAGTCTCCCTGTCAGTCTGAGTCTGGAGCTGCTCCCTCAGAGAGCTGTAGAGCCCCAAAACATCCACATGACGCTGTTCCTGCTTCTGGTCATCCTGCTGGACTCGCTGCCACAGCAGGGCTAGCTGGCGCTCCACGTGTTCAAGACGTTGCAAGTCCACACTAGAGCCCACCACTGGAGAAAAGGTTACCTGAGGACAAAAATAAAGGAGTGAACAGAGAGGAAGAATCAGTTTGGTGATGACTCCAAGACAGCCGTGCTTTGCACCAGACACACAACAGCAGTACAGCATTTGTGTGCAATTATGAACGGGGTTAAATCACTGCAGTCATTTAGTTGATGCCTCAGCTCAAAGATACTTCATGTAATGTGGTCATTTATACTCACATTCACTAAGTTTCTAATCACAATTTAATGAAGTGCTATTTATTGTGTTCTCTCTGTTACCGGTGCCTCTGAGACCACGATGGCAGGGTTCTGTTTCACTGCATCCTCTGGGGTAGGAGCGGGAGCAGGAAGTGGCACCAAGTTAGATGCCGCAGGACGCCACTCAGTTAGGTTAATTGCTGGGAGGTAGGCAATCAGGGCAGCAGTGGACGGACCCCACAACCATAAAGCTGCATAGAGACGATAGATAGTGGAGGTCAAAGCTCACTCGCTGGCTGATGGCCAGTCATAAACTCAGAATGCATGGATAAACTTTGTGCAAACCCTCTAGAAATGTATTTTAAATTGATGTCAAGATCATCTATCCCAAATAGGCTGAACCAAAGGTAAATGCATGTAAAGCAATGCTAATATTCACATTAAATGTAAAGCTGCAACCATATAAACATTCATTTGATCTAATTATATACAGTGGCTGAAATAACATGTTAGAACGAGAACTAGAAACCCTACCAAGGCTGACCTCAGTCTGGTACTGGGTTTGCAGCAGGCTCTGGGGATGTGTGCCGATTACAATTCTACAGATAGTCTACAATTCTATAGGTTACACCTGTGATAAAGGAAGAGAACGCTGCCAGTTCCTACAGACTCACCGAGGAGGAGCAAGAGGGGCAACAGGAGCAGCAGGAGCTTCCAGAGTTTGGGAAGGCATCTGAAACACAGAGTCACACACTGATCAGATTACCAAGTGCCTGAGTACATGCTGCTAATACAAAAAGGACCTTAGTGAATCTAAACTGACAGTTTCTCAAAAGAAGACAGGCAGAACATAATGATCTCTACAAACTCCAAAGGAAAATATCTGGCTCATAAGCTGCTAATAAATTCAGCAGCTAGTCTCTAATGGTGTCTGACTGTTGTTGGTGCTGAGCAGGTAGTGTACAGTGGGTTTTAGAGCCTTTTCTGCTGTAGCTGAAAACAGCACTATGAAAGAGTGGAGACTGAATTAAAACAGTAAATTTGCGGGCTCGACAGCTAAACGAGCTGAAACTCATTATAAAGCTCCTAATTTGGGTGATAATTTTCTGTTGGGCCCTTTCCTTTACCCGAGTCACACTGTCAGGCCATTTGACACACTTACTATAAAAAATATCAATTTTAACAGCTCTAATATTTTGAAAACTGTTTAGCTGTTACAAATGTCAGATTCTCTCTTCTGTGCATAGTAAAAACCATAAGGTTCACTAAAAAATGGGGGAAGGGCTCTTACCGTGTCAGAAAGAAGACGTTGAGGAGAGACATGAGAGACACCAATTGGTACCATCCTTCTGCAAGAAACCACAGGAGTCCCCGGCCTGCCTTCACTAAG